AACAGAGATGATCGAACATCTTGAGTTCTCTGATAATTTCATTATCAGTAAGGCAGTACCGGACAGATCATTTAACCATATTAGACATACAGCAAGATGCGGTGTGCATCCTTCTGCTATATGATTATATGGGTATGTACAGTCTGATCATTACACTGTTTATCTGAGGTTTTTGGGTTGTAATTAATAGTTTGGAACCAAGCATAGATATTGCTCTAGAGCTGTTTTCAGACATTAATTCTAAAAAAATCTTCCAGTTTTGCACATGATGTGTGTTAAAATGGTCGTCACCACACCCATTTTTTCACAATTTCCTGCTGTAGTCTCACATAGGCTCCTTTTTTTTCAGGGCATTTTACTCGGGGGCTGGCAGGAAAAGTTCCAGAAAATGTCCGGAGCAACTGGCTTGGACATTTGTGTTGTCACATACAACGCCTCCAGAAAAATTTCAGGAGACTGTCCAGACTTCAGTGCATGTCTGAAAGCAGCTCAGGTGTTGTTGTTTATTAAACCTTTTGCATCATTATCACAAGAGAAGGATTGATTTATTGTTTAGTGCGTAGGAGTATCATGTACCTAGTGGAGGCTCTGGTGATATACCAATACTCTGTAGGAGGGCCTCAGTCTCTCTGCGTTTACGATCCAAGTCTGAATCCTCTGGGGTCACCACTGCCTTCTGCTGGCTCTCAGACTGCACAGGACACAGAGACAAATAAGTAGTAAGTTAATACACAATGAATTACACAACACAACAGAGTCCCAGCTCATTTTATGAGCAAGTGAAAACATGCGCATGTGCATGCACACCCTCAGACATGTATGTGTCACGGCTTGACAAAAACAATCCAACACACTAGAGGGTGAGACAGTATGAGCGGCAGTCATGTGAATGTACTCACTTTCTTCCTTACCTCTTTCTTCTTCCTCTCCTCCTCCTTTCTCTTTTTTTCCTCCCTGATTTGGGCGAGGCGCTGCTTCTTGCGCTCAAGCTCTGCTTTTAGGTCACTTTTGTCCGACATGGTGTCCTACAGGGCGCCAAGCGAGAGGAGCGAACAGGAGTAAGCTACATGTGGGACAGTCACAATATAACCTCTGGTTTCATTTTAACACGGCGTGGCAGTGGAGGAGGCTCATCCAATGGGCCCAAGGGATTGTTCAGAGAACCCACTGGGTGTGGCAGCTATTCGATATTGATGAAACAGCATCAATACTGGGTCGTACTGACCCGAAAGGTGTTTGCATATAAGAGCTATACTTGTACATTATTAGTATTATTATGAAATCACTGTGTATGTATGTATGATATTAGAATCATTATCATGCGCAGTACATACTTCTTATTTTGTATTCCAATACTGCTTTTTC